ATGTATCCTTCCACTCTATTAACAGCGTGACTAAGTGGAAATATGTGTACCAACAAAGGATGCTCTGGAAAGGGAGTTAGGAAAATACGCTCTGGATATTAAAGAGGTCATGGAATTGATTACTGATGCTGGTTTGATCAAAACAGTTACAGGATTTTCCAAATGCTATGATATGCTAGTAAAGGAACTTATTGTGAACATTCCTTCTACCATTACTGACAGGAACAACAAGGATTTTATGAAGGTTTTTATTCAAGGGAGGTGTGTAGAATTCTCTTCCATGGTGATCAACAGATTCTTAGGAAGGACTGATGAAGGAGAAGGTGAAATGAAGGCGTCTGACAACCAAGTTTGCAGGATTATCACTGCAAACCAACTCAATGTATGGCCATCTAGAGGTAAGCTCTCTGCTGGGTAACTCAGTGTCAAGTATGCCATCCTTCACAGGATTGGTGCTGCTAACTGGGTGCCCACCAATCATACCTCAACCATAGCTGTAGGTTTGGGTAGGTTTATTTATGTTGTGGGTACTAAGATTGAGTTTAACTTTAGACAATATATTTTTGATCAAGTTGTAAAACATGCTACCACTAGTGTTGTGAAACTTCCTATTGCTTTTCCATCTCTTATTTGTGAAATCATCCTTAACCAACACCCTGGTATTCTCACTACACATGATGTGGCCTGCAAGAGAGAATATGCTCTATCCCTTCATTACAAGTTGTTTGCTGGAAGACATGTCCCATACATTGTCTTGACTTCTGTTGAGAAGGCTTCTACATCAAGGGCTAGAATTATTTCTGAGTTGAAGGAAACATGTAGGGAATTAGGTGATATGATTAATGTGACCACTGCTAGGAAGATTAAATTAGAGGCTTTGATTCAATATTTGGAAAAGGATGATAATGCAATACATGATGATAATGATGATGCTCAAGAAGATGGAGGTGAGGAAGTTTCTGAGGAGGAGACTGATGATGGTGTTAATTCTGTACCTACTGATACTGATGCTGAAGCAACTGAAAGTGCTGGTTCTGAGGATGAAGATTAATTTGTTTGCTTTTCTCTTTGTTTTTTGGCTTCTTTGATTTGTCTGCTGCTGTAGAATGTACTTTTATTGCACTTAAGGTGCTACTGGCTTGTACTTTAATTGGGTCTTTGTATCCTTAACATTTGGTTCTGGTAATTTGACTTATATTGCTTTCCCTTAGCTTGTATTGTTAATTTGTGGCTAAAAAGGGGGAGAAGGTTTGGTAGGTGTGAAGTTGGTGTTTGCTGTTGTTGATCTGTGGTTGCTGCTCTATTGTTGATCTTGCTGGATGTTGTTCTTTTTGCTTGGGCTGTTATATGTGAATTTGTGAGTTACAGGTTGATGACTGCTGAAGTGTAGTTAGGCTGACTGGTTTGTGTTTTGGCTTGAAGAGATGTTGTTTGTTTGTTGAGGGAGAGTTTGTATCCACTCCTATCTTGTTGTTTTTTTCTGCTGTGTTGTGCTCTTTGTTTTAGAAGCTCTTGTGATTTGTGTTTTAGCCAAAATTTTCTAAATGGGGAGTTTGTTAGTTCCTGGTTGGCAGGCATTTTGGTAAAACTTGGTGATATTACAAGATGTCCTACAGGATGTCGTGACATATGGTTTTAAGGTTCTGCAGGTAGCTTTGTCTGTTGAAGCAGGACTTAGGTCATGATGTCAAGCATGATGTCTTGACTCTTATGGACAAAACATTTTGTGAGAATGTCTTTGGATTGTCTGTTTCGTTTGGGCAGCTCTTTGCACCAATCAGGTGTAAATCTAAGTGGATTTAATTCTTATCCAAAGGCGTTTTGATCGTGGAACTATTTTCTGGAGAATATCTTGAAAGAGCTGAAGAGTGATTTGATTGGATCTTGGATCATATCAAATCTGTTTCATTAATGCTAGTTATTTTGATTGATATCTTCACGATCAGCTGTTTCTTTTGCCACACCCCAAGCCCGTCCAAGTGTTGATATTTAAGGTTTCACAACCCTAGCTTTCAGTTAAGTGAATCTAGGTTTTAGATTGTGCAATTGCGTAAGGATTAGTGTTGTCTAGCATTTGTGTGTTTTGTGTTAGATTGTGAGTCATTCACTCATTGCTTTAATGTGTGAATTGGACTAAGTTTTGTATTGTAAGTTATTCACTTAAATCTTGTAAGCAAGAGTGTATTGTACTTGATTGAAGCTTTTAAGTAAGATCAAGTTGTGTCCTTGAAGAGTGTTTTCTAAAGTCTTATTATTTGTTGTTGTTATCACTGCTGTGATTGAGGGGGAGTGAGAGGTGTCTCTTATCTAGGAGTGTCCTAGGTAGAAATTGCAAGGGTAAAGATTAGGTAAGAAGATGGTAAACTAGAGAGAGTCTACTGTATATCTTCAAACTAATTCTACTTAGTGGATTTCCTACCTGATTTGGTAGCCCCAAACGTAGGTGTGTTTTCACCGAACTGGGTTAATAATTGCTTGTGTCTTTTTACGTTTGTTATATGTTTGTCTTTGTTCTTATTGATGATTGAACATATATTAGTATCGTAACACCGCCTTCGACATCTGATATCTGATACCAGAATTTCAAGTTGTTGCAGTGTTAATTCAGAGTTGTTACTGAGTCGGATCATACACTTCCCCTAGCATGTTACTCATATCTGTTTAAACCACTTAGTCAATTTCTCTCTTTTACTTGCAAATATTTTTATAATTAAACCGCACAATTTTAAAACTCCAAGTGCTTTTGTTCAACTGAATTATATAGAGCTTGTATTTCCTATGCAGTCCTCGAGATCGATATTCGGGGAATTTCCCCTCGTATTACTACATTGACAAAATAGTAGACTTGCTATTTTATCGGTCAACCACCAATCACCGTGAAGACTACTTAGCAGACTATTCCTCTGAATGGTGATTTTCCTCATGTTATTCCTACTTACATCCAGCTGCCATGCAAACACAGGCACATCCGTACTTCAACGACCAACACCAGGTTTTCGACATCTCTGACCAGTCGGAAGAAGGAGATGAACGTCATGAGAAGATGAGAGAAGATTTCGAAACTATGGCGAGAAAAATCAGAGCTATGGAAGGTAATATCATATTTGAGGCCGATGCGAAGGACATTTGTTTGGTCTCTGGATTAGTGATTCCTCTTAAATTTAAAATTCCAATCTATGACAAATATAAGGGGCCTACTTGTCCTAAGACTCACTTAATCATATACTATAGAAATATTTAAATTATAAATTATAACTTTTATAATATTAATATTTATAGAAATACTATAAAATAATATATAATATATAATATATTAAAAATTAAAATTATAAAATGAAAACGATGAATTATATTAAAATTATAAAATAATATATAATATATAATACTATAAAATAATATATAATATATAATATATTAGAAATATTCAAACGAATTTATTTCATATAATTCTCCTTTTTAAGGGACTTCTTTAGAAGAAAGTTCGTTTCTCTACAGATAATAGTTATGCACCATGTCCTTGATAAGAACATAGGTCTCGTCATAGTATTTATTTATTAAGCCCTTTATTGTAGTAGTGCCAATGTTATTCTCGTATAATAGAGATGAACATTATAAAATATGGACTATAAGTCATTTTTCAAGTCTATGGTGTAGACATAACTTCATAATTTCCTTGAATTGCTCTCAAGCTCGGAAGAGCGATTCACCGTCATATTGTTTGAAGTAAGTTATTTGGTTTCTTAATTATATTGCTTTTCTAAGTGCAAAGTATCGGGTGAGGAACACAACTTTTAGTTCATTCCATGTCATAATAGAATTTGATAGTAGTAGGGATGTCAATTCGCATCTGTTAGCGGAGATCTCCGTGAGAATTATCCTATTCGGGGCCCCAAAGATGGAGAATTTCCCTCCACAGGGGCGGGGACGAGGATAAAATTTCTCTCGACAACACTTTGAAATGGGGACGGAAAACACATCCCCGCCCCGCGGGACTCTGTCCTACCTATTTATTTTAATATAATTAATTTAATATATAATTTATATTTTTTTTTGTCATTTCAATTATTTTTATTTTTAAAAATAAATAAATATTAATGTATAGAACTTTTGTAGTTGTTTAGGCATATTATTACTTAGAAAAAGTATTATAACTTTTGTCGAATTTTATAACATTTTATAAAAATATTATTATTTTGTGTCTCATCAGTACTTTTAATAAAACATAATAATTGTGAAATATTAGTATTTTTTAATAACAAAATAAATATGTGAAATACTTGTGCTTTTTATTTTTATAGAAAATAAAGATATTTAAAAAAAATAAATTGTTAATGGATAAATATAGGATCCGCGAGAAACGGGGATGGGATAGAAACTCCCCTGTAACGGAGATTAGGAATAGGGATGAGAAATAAATTTAATGGTGGGAACAAAGATGAAAAAGTGTTCCCGCCCCTGCCCCCGCCCCCTCCCATTAACATCCCTAAATAGTAAGGACTATAGCCACGCTGTGACTGTGTCCCATAAGAAAAATAGAAAAATCTTAATCGAATTGTGGCTAGGTCTACTACATTCATCTTGACAGTACGGAAGAATTCGACGAAAATAAACAAATGTAAATTGGGGTCATCTATTGGTGAGCCAGAAATAGGACTTTAACTCGAAGTTGTTAGCCTCAATAGCAAGACGAACTATGCTCGAATGAAGTTTTTCATTCGTGGGAATAATATAATTGGATAATGAAAGAAAACCAAAGATCAATAATGTGATCACACTCAAATAACACCATCAACCACCAGAATCAAACAATATATTCTACAAATAAGCACAACATCCCAAAGCTGTTGAGGTAACAACTCTAAAACAAACATCATCCATGTAGTTACAATATCATGATCAATACACTTATAATAAGTAATGACCAAGAAATGAATAAGGCTACATAAAACTCAAATTTGAGTGACCTTCTTTCGAGTGGAATCGAGGACATAGAATACCGTTTAGGTAAATGATAGAACCGCCGAAGACGTGGTGACTAAACTTGACAAGAGACCAACTATGACAGCACTGTTATATGTGCTTGGTTCCGCTTGCATAGAATTGTTCCGAGAGTCGATGTAAGTGTCATTTAAGAAAGGTCCGCCAACAAGGGCTCCGGTTGCTACATTGGGATTTGGATCAGATGAATCTAGATATTTGAAGCCGTCTTTGCAACCAACTTTTGCATCAGCGGGAATTGAAGCGCCCCTGTGATGAACGAATTGCGGGAATTTGTTTCCATATCCCACCAGATAACTCATATGCAGAGGATTCTTGCCCAACACGTAATCAGCCTGGAAGTATTAAGAAACAGAATTTCAATTTAGAATAACTCGAAGGTGATATTCTGCGAAAATGATAACATGGATGCATACCTGAGATCTGGCGAAGTTTCGAAGATCTTTTGGGGTGTAGGAATCTGAATCGCATTTAATTTTGGCAGTTTGCGATGTAAGCATATAGTCGCTGTAAATAGAAGCTAAGAATGCCGATGCAACAGGCTGCTGCAAAGAGTTCCATTCGCTCACCCATATCAAACCATCTATATCAGAGAAAAATAAAAATCTAATAAGAAAAGATATGGCAGTTAAAATATATTACGAAAACTGGAATCTCGGCAGTTAACATTACTATCGGTTCTGCTTGTTGTGGCTGTTGGAGAATTTGGAAGAAGGCCGCACATTACAGCCTCGGCAGATTTCCGGTATTTTTGAAGGCCAGAACCATATGAACTTGAAACACCCTTTGAATTGAAGAAGCTTATTCTAGATAACAAAACCTGCATTAAGAAGAAGGTTTATTAAAGCAAATAGTCGCACGAAAGCAAAGTTGGTGAAAAGATTAGACTGTTCTTCATACCTGAGTTCCGGCGAGCTTGTTGTCCCAACTGAACCAGGTTGGGCTTCCGAATTCAGCATACTCGTCTCCAGTTTGGCCAGTCACATACGTAAGGTAAGAATCATCGCCAGTTGCGTGATAGAGCCAGGTAGCTGCCCATAAAAGCTCGTCACCAAATCCAGTTGAGTTATAATATGTTGCGACTTCAGGTATACTCACGCTATAAATCTCCTTATAATCGTCCGCAAAAGTAAATAGCTGTTTTGCATGCTTGAGGAGAGTGCCTGAGTATGTAGGATCTGACTTTTTGAAGACCAAAGACGCGGATGCCATGGCTGCGGCAGTTTCAGCTGCGACATCTGATCCGGGACTGGATGTGTTCACTTGTAAGAGGGGTCGTGCCTCGATTATTGACTCTGGTCTATTCCAACACTTGTGATCTGCAACGGGATCACCGACCTGCCACGTCGATTTTGATAAATGAAACTGGATAGGAAACGAATTCTGGAAGAACATCAATATAGTATTCACACTAGCTAACCTGAACATACAGAACATTCTCGGAAGGGTGAGCATTGATGAGAAAATCAGTGATCCACTTGAGCGAATCTTGAGCTGGTTCCAATTGTCCAACCGCATCCATTTGATCTCCGTATTCCAGAATCGCCCATGATAGTACCGAAGCAGTAAAAGCCATTGGAAAACCAAACTTCATGTGATCCCCGGCATCATACATTCCTTTTGAAAGATCTATATTCACTTGTTTTCCATCCTTAAGAGCCGAATCCCCTCTCCAACTTATTTTATTGTTCTCTAACTTGCCAGCTGCATGACATGACATGAATCAAACATACGACGGTTAACTCGACTAAAATATGCACAACATGTACACCATTAACATGCCAGAGACCAGACACTCCAAATTAAATGCCACATATATTCGATCTGAAAACATCGAGCATAACAGCAATCAAGCCTTCAAACGCAAAAGCAATGTTCTAAAGACCAAACCGAATCAGACGATTCAATTAAACTAGGTTCAATTATTTTGGCGATTTGGTAACGGTTTTGTCTCAGTTCAAGCTGTTTAACGAACCGTGATCCCCGATTCGACCGCATAAAAGACCACCCATATAATATCTATTATCATTAGCAGATTTAGTCATTGAAGCCAAAACATCCAACAGATACAGACAAAAAAAAATCAACAGAAACAAAAAAGTATCCAATTAATGACATCAATAATAAACCAACAACATCGTAAAATGCAAAAAAAGAAAAAACATTATTACATTTTTGTATATCGAAGAACTGCATTGCAGTTTTGAGAGCAGAAGCATATTTCTGTTCAATGGCACCAGGAGGACCCGGAACCGGAGCTGGTTTATCAGAATCTTTATCAATTTTCTTCTTCACAGCATAAACAACAGCACCAACAACAAGAGCCAGAATCACAAGCGCAATAAACCAACCACAACACCCTCCTTTCGACCTCTTTTCCCCCATTATGAAAGAAAAAAGCGCGTTTCAAAAAAGCTAAAACCACAAACTCAGAATCAGAGTTTGGGGAATTTGGGCTTAGATCTAAACTTTTTTTATATAAAAATTTAAATCCTAAACAAGCACATTGTTGTTATTTTTTTTGCTTAAAAACTCCATGTAGCAACTTCCTTAAACGGAACATAAAAACTTTGTTTTTATTACAGCTAAACGACAACGAATGACAACGACAATGGCTATGTTCGGAAATAGGTTTTGTAATTGTATGAATTCAGTTTTGGATCGTTAAAGGAACAAAGAAGGATCAACAACAACAACCACCTACTACAGTGTTTGTTTTGGTTGAAGAAAACGGATCTAACCCGACCCGGTTACGGAGAGAATGCAGTTGAAAACGGTGGTTACGGTTACGGTTACGGTTACGGCTACGATCGATCTCGCGGGAGAATATATATCTCTACCAATAGATTTGGAAGTATCTGAAGTAGTAGGTAGGTATACAAAATGTTGAATGACGGAAATGCCCTTGATGAAGTTAGGTGATTTAGGGTTTTGTCGGTGGATTTGAAGGGTATAAAGGGAAAGTAAGGGAGTCAAGAGATTGACCGATGCTAGCATTGTCGGTGGGATTGTTATTGATTTGGATCGTTGATTTGCTGGCTGTTGAGAAAAGAGAGGAGAGGTTAAGTGAAAATAACCCTTCACCTTGACTATTTATTTTACTTCAACTTTAATTAAATATTTGATGGGTTTGTGTCACTAACGTGGAGGATTCAAAAGTCAAAACAAGAACTTTGCTATCTATGATCATCTCTATATTATAGTCAAAAATTAATAATAGATAAAAATTTCACATGCAGGCCCAAGGCGATCCAACAAAAGTTTTAGATGTCAAAATTATGAATAAATTTAATTTGAAAGATGCTATTTTTATATCATTTTTTACGTTCAATACTTACACTGTATACACGGTTCACCGTATTTATACGGTGAACAGTGTTTTTTTAATTAAAATAATATATTTTTTAAAAATATTAATTTTTAAAAAAAATATTTAAAATTTATTTTATAACACAAATATAAGATTGCGCATTAACCAACTTCACAGTTGCATTAACCACAAAAATCTATATCATTAGCCAATTATTTTACCTATAATTTATTAACCACTTTCCCTACTTCATTAACCAATAAAATACACACTATTAACCATGTTCTGAGAAATTTATTCAAGTATTTGTGAACGGTAACTTGGGTGTAGGATGTAGAAAAGGGTGTCAACATAGCAATCCTTATTTAATTTAGGCTTTGTCAAATTTGAATCTCGGTCAAAATATTTAAAATTTATGTATGATATGTAATCTACCATATATTTTTAGGTTTGTTTTTAGTTTTTTTTAATTCTACTTAATCTATTAGTCTATTTTAAAGTTTATTTCGTTTGAATATTTATAGATAATTAAGTCAAATAATATTTAAATATATTAACGAATTAAAATATCAATGAGACAATATTTATTTCATACACTTTATGTCACAAATTTTTTTTCCAGTGAACCGGGATGGATTTTCAAAACTGCCATATGCATTGCATTTGATATGTCTTTTATGCAGAACAACTTGTTTTACTAGCGAGTAAACGCTTGATGGCGGGAAAGTTTCCACGATGAAAAGATTTGATCAGGACAGAATGCAGAACGCCTGAACATTCCGGTGAACCGGGGCAAGCTATGTCAAATGATCGCGGCATGGGAGTCAGTCATCCAGAAGTCAGTTAATCCGGGGCAATCAGGTCGAGATTTGATGAATCTCTCGCAGCCAAGGGTACTACTCCCCAGAGATTAGCCATGAGGGGCAAAGTCATGACAAGACTGGGGCAGGCCACCCCGAGAGCGCCGAAGCTATCCTCCTCCTGAAGACGATTAACTTGAAGCAACTCTGTGAGGTTCAAAGTGTTGAGGCCGTTCATGTCAAACCGCTATAGCACAGAGATCTCAGGTTCCCTTCCGAGAGGATGTTACGAAGATCCCACTGGTTGGGGCAAAAGTTGAAAGCGAAGGAATCGTTCCTCTCCATATCGGCAGAGTGTGTCAGAAGTTGTTAAAATTCTGGGGCAAGCCATCTCGAGTTCGCTTCATGGCATGTGTTTCCAAGCAGGATGATTCCTTCTTCCTCAGCAGGTTCAGCGGTGTTTCCCCGCAGAGTCTGAACATGGGGCTGTGAGCATTGATGTGTCTCCCCAAACGGAGATAGATTCTCCCCAACCAGATGCATCCCAGGCAGGATCATCATTCCCCCAGCTGAGTCATGCACAGAGGTGTGTACTCATTCCCAGCAGTGGGTCAGCATGTAGTTTTCTCGTAGAAGACTATCCGTAAGTGGTCAGCTCTCAATAGGTCAGATTGAAGTCTCCAACGGAGTTGAATTCCCCATAGAGTTGTGTTCTCCCCAGCAGGTAGGATTTATTCCAGCGTCTGGTTGCATATCCTCAACCGAGTTCGCAGTCCTCCCAGAGAGCCGAGTTTTTGAAAGTCGTTCAAGCCATTATTGGTTTTCCCTAGCGGAGAGTGTTTGAATAGTTGTTGCTATACTTCCCCATCGGAGTTCGTATCTCCCGGAAGATTCTATCTGCAAAGGCCGTGCAGTTTATTTCTGCGATTGACATCGTTTCCTCAGCAGCTGTGGTCCGTATACCCAGTTAAGCAAGTACAGGTTCTCGTAGAACTTTGTTTCCCAGTGGAAAGTCGTCTGAGGTTCGTTTCCCCAGGTTAAGCCCAATTGAGATTGGTGTGATTTCTTCTCCTCGGCAGGATGATTCCTTCTCCCCATCAGAATGGTTCTTTCTCCCTGACAGGAGGGCTTCCTTCAGCATTTGTTTTGCTGATGTAGGTCCGTAGCATTTTTGCATGATTGCATAGCATTTACCCTAAACGCGTAGCATTTTCACCGTGTGGAGCATTACGCCATTGTCAAGCATATGCATGTGAAACATGAGCTAGGTCGTTATCGTTCTCGTGTGCAGGTGTTCCTCAGCGGAGTTGTTTGTTCAGGATGATTCTTGAATTCCTTAGTAGAGTTGTTTGTTTAGGATGATTCTTGAAGTCCTCAGCAGAGTTGTTTGTTCAGGATGATTCTTGAATTCCTCAGCAAAGTTTATTCGTCCAGGATGATTTATGAATCCCCAGAGCTGAGTTACTTGATAGTTCTCCAGAATCCCCAGCGGAGATGTGTCGTCCCCAGCAGGTTTCAAATAGAAAAGTTGAAATTTCCCTTGAAGACTTGATGAATGAAGCCCGACAGCAGTGCCAAAATCCCCCTGACTTACTGATGAAGTCTGACTGTGATGTCGAGGAGTTCTCCCAACTAACACGGAGTGCCTGACGGCAAAAGATTGGATATCCTTATTGGTTCATGATTGAGTAAGGAGTCTATTTCCTGACTTACTGATGAAGTTCGACTGTGATGTCGAAGAGTTTCTCCTAGCTGACGTGGAGTGCCTGATGGCAGAAGTTTAGATATCCCTATTGGTTCATGATTGACTAAGGATTCTATTTTAGACTTGATGACAAAGTCCGACTGACGCCCGAGAATTTCCTTGAATGCCCGACGGCATAATTGACTTGATTGTCAAACGTCCAGCGACCTGACGAGTCTAGAGGTGACGTTAAGGAATTCTTCTGTTGTGGTGCAAAATGCCCGATGGCATAATCGACCATCCTTCACTAGTTACCGTGTAACCAGTGATCCCTTATTGACTTACTGACGAAGTCCGACAGATATTGTCGAACGTTCCTAGCGACCTGACGAGTCCATAGGTGACGTTAAGGAATTCTTCTGTTGTGGCGCAGAATGCCCGACGGCATAATTGACCATCCTTCACCAGTTACCGTGTAACTGGTGATCCCTTGATGACTTGAGAACGTAGTTCTACATTGAAATCAGATGATCATCCTGATGGAGATTTGAGATTAATCCTTCACCAGTTACCGTGTAACCAGTGATCCCTTGATGACTTGAGGACGTAGTTCTACAGTGAAATCAGATGATCATCCTGACGGAGATTTGAGATTAATCCTTCACCAGTTACCGTATAACCGGTGATCCCTTGATGACTTGAGGACGTAGTTCTACAGTGAAATCAGATGATCATCCTGACGGAGATTTGAGATTAATCCTTCACCAGTTACCGTGTAACCAGTGATCCCTTGATGACTTGAGGACGTGGTTCTACAATGAAATCAGATGATCATCCTGACGGAGATTTGAGATTAATCCTTCACCAGTTATCGTGTAACCGGTGATCCCTTGATGACTTGAGGACGTAGTTCTACAGTGAAATCAGATGATCATCCTGATGGATATTTGAGATTAATCCTTCACCATTTACCGTGTAACCGGTGATCCCTTGATGACTTGAGGACGTAGTTCTACAGTGAAATCAGATGATCATCCTGACGGAGATTTGAGATTAATCCTTCACCAGTTACCGTGTAACCGGTGATCCCTTGATGACTTGAAGACATAGTTCTACAGCAAAATCAGATGATCATCCTGACGGAGATTTAAAGTTAATCACTCACCAGCAAGTTGTCGTACAACTATCGTTTCAATTTCCGAAGATTTTCCTACCAATCAGAGTATCGTTTACTTGTGTGGTTGGCAAATTTCTGGGTTTATTGGTATTTAACCATCTTTCACCTTGATTGTTTGAGAGTTGTTCGCTTCTCACCCAGTCAGGTCCAAGCCGTTTGAATAGGGGCAGCTATTGCACCCCAAAATTTGCCTAACCTTTTTTAACGTGGCTTGTGTTTCATTGCATTCATTTAGCATTATCATCTGCATTGCATTGATATGTGTGCAGGAGATCAAGAGGTATGACTACCAACCAAGGGCTGCACAAGGCTATGAAGCTATCTAAGAATCCTTCTTCAAGTATTCAAGGGTTGATATCCTCATCAAAGAAGTTAAAGACCCTCAGAGAGAGGGTTGGACACAAGAATGCATAT